AAAAGAACAGCATAGGTAAAGAAGAGTGGGAATGGAGGAGGTGAGAACGCAAAAAAATAAAAAGAACAGGGAGAATGGAGGAAGTAAGAGCCCCCCCCCCTAAAAAAAATGCGAAATGCAGGTAGTAAGAGCCCAAAATTAAAAAAAAAAAAACAGAGGAAATGAAGGAAGTGAGAACAAAAAAAAATATATATATAACATGGGGCATGGAGTATGTAAGAGAACAAAAAAAAAAAGTACAAGGAGAATGGAGTATGTGAGAGCACAAAAAAAAAAAGAACAAGGGGAATAGAGTATGTGAGAGACCAAAAAACAAAAAAAAAAAAAAGAACAAGGAGGATGGAGCATGTGAGAGACCAAAAAAAGAAAGAATATGGGGAAAGGAGTATGTGCAAGAACAAAAGAAAAAAGAAAAAATAACAGCATAGGTAAAGAAGAGTGGGAATGGAGTATGTGAGAACGCCAAAAAATAAAAAGAACAGGGAGAATGGAGGAAGTAAGAGCCCCCCCCCCCCCCCAAAAAAAATGCGAAAGCAGGTAGTAAGAGCCCAAAATAAATTTAAAAAAAAAAAAAAAAAAGAGGAAATGGAGTGAGAACGCAAAAAAAAGAAAAAATAACAAGGAGAATGGAGTATGAGAGAACAAAAAAAAAAGAACAAGGGGAATTGAGTATGTGAGAGCACAAAAAAAAAAAGAAAGAAGAGCAAGGTGAATGGAGTATGTGAGAACACAAAAAAAGAAAAAAGAACAGGGGTATGGAGTATGTGAGAGAACGAAAAAAAAAAGAACAAGGGGAATTGAGTATGTGAGAGCACAAAAAAAAGAAAAAGAACAAGGTGAATGGAGTGCGTGAGAGCACAAAAAAGAAAGAAAAAAGAACAAGAAGAATGGAGCATGGGAGAGCACAAAAAAAGAAAAGGGGGAATGGAATATGAGAGAACAAAAAAAAAAAAGAAAAAAGAACAGGGGTAATGGAGTATGTGAGAGCACAAAAAAAAAAAGAACAGGGGGAATAAAGTAGACGAGAATACAAAAAAAGACCAGGAGGAACAGAGTATGTGAGAGCACAAAAATAAAAAGAGCACGGGGAAAGAAGTAGACGACAGCACAAAAAAAGAACAGGGGGAATGGAGGAGGTGAGAGCACAAAAATAAAAAGAGCACGGGGAAAGAAGTAGACGAGAGCACAAAAAAAGACCAAGGGGAATGGAGTATGTGAGAACAAAAAAGAAAGAAAAAAGAACAGGGGGAATGTAGTATGTGAGAGAACGAAAAAAAAAGAACAAGGAGAATGGAGTATGTGAGAGCACTTTAGACTGCAGCTTTTTGTTTTTGTTTTTTTCTTTATTTTTTGCACTTTAAATTCCAGCTTTTTTATTTTTTTTTTCTTTTTTGTATTTTAGATTCCAGCTTTATTATTATTTTTATTTTTGTACTTAAGATTGCACCTTGTGTTATTTTTCATTTCATTTCATTTCTTTTTCAGTTTTATTTAATTTGTTTATATTTTTTGTGCTTTAGATTCCAGCTTTTTTACTTTTTTTTTGTATTTTAGATTCCAGCTTTTTTTTTTTTTTTTTTTTTTTTTTTTTTTTTTTTTTTTTTTTTTTTTTTTTTTTTTTTTTTTTTTTTTTTTTTTTTTTTTTTTTTTTTTTTTTTTTTTTTTTTTTTTTTTTTTTTTTTTTTTTTTTTGTATTTTAGATTCCAGCTTTTTGGTTTATTTTTGTTTTTTATTTTATTTATTTATTTATTTTGTACTTTAGATTCCAGCTTCTTTACTTTTTATTTTTGTTGTATTTTAGATTCAAGCTTTTTTATTATTTTTATTTTTGTACTTTAGATTGCAGCCTTTTGTTTTATTTTTTTGTTTATTTATTTATTTATTTATTTAATTTGTACTTTAGATTCCAGCTTTTTTATTATTTTTATTTTTGTACTTTAGATTACAGTTTTTTGTTTTATTTTTTACTGTTAAATATTATATTGATAAATAATACTTTGAATATATGTTACATTCAAGGGATAGACTCCATAACACACTGCTGCATATTAACAGGTTGGCTGTAAACCAATAAATGTAGTCAACTCAACAGCATAAAGATTTTGTTGAACCATCAAGAAAAGGGAATGATCGTTCAGTTGAGGAAATCCATTTTCCAATGCTGTGGGAGGTGTGGAAATCATAGAATAAAATCTCAAAAACCCACACTAAAAAAATCATTGGTACATAAAAAATTATTTCCATGTTGAGATTTCATGTACTTATATGACTACACTGCATTGTTAAGTGTCAAAAAATTTAAGTATACCATCTCTGAAAGTGATGTAAAGGCCATGGTTTATTTCACACATACAACTTATTACTAACCCTGACATCATGTAAGTTACTCCTGTTGCCGACACAGAAGAAGTTCTATTTAAGTTATTATTGTCAGCTTCATTTCAACATTGTTCTTATGTTTATTCAGATTGTGTTAGATGAGAGACTAGTCACACTGCTCAATTAGGTAACGTGTTCAATTATTCATGTGGTCAGTTGTATAAAAGACAGTGTCGCACATGCTCTGCACAGTCATTACAGGCAGAGTGAAGGTGGTTTGATATAACACGAAACTTGTGTATAAGTTTATCTAATATTCATTATAGTGTAATTAAGATCTCACTTTACTGGAATTTTTTTAAGTTTTCTTCATTAGAATTAGTTACATTGGCCTATGGGCATTGTGCTTATCAACATGTATGTTGTTATTCCTGTGGCATTTTCATGAACAACATGTGCTAGTATATTTACATTATCAATAAATTGTAGTAACAGCTCAGATGGTCATGACTGTCTCTGGGCAACCAGTTGGCAGTCGATAACAAGTATGGATATTATTTTAGTGTAATTGTTTGCAATTAAATAATTAGTGAAGTATAATTTATGTAAAGACAGATTTTTTTTAGATAAGAGCACATTATTTAAGCCAGAATAATTTTGTAGACTTATGTAGTATATTTTGTAGTATGTATCATTTAGTTTTTTTTTTTTTTTCATTTCTTTTGGTGTTTCACTGTTTTTTTTTTTTTTTTTAATCACCAGTTCAGAACAGCTCAGTACCAGTAACAGTTCAGTAAACTGTGTGAATAAACAGCATTTAATATCTAACGATGATTCTTCATCTTTCTTACTCGTGAACCGCTACAACTTCACTGAATGACATGACATAATGAATCTGGGAGAACTTGACAGTTTGACAGTTTAACCAAAGGTTAAAATTTCAAAGTGATTGGAACATTGTTCTTGGATACTTAAGGCTGAAAATGTAAGATAAGCAACAAATGATAAGAACCGATAAATTCCATTTACCCAAGGAAAATTTCTTTTCTATGAGTCATACTGCCCCTTAAACTAATTCAAATTTTACATAATGAAAAGTAAGTCTGTTTAATAAATCCTCAACAAAATACTAAAATAGGTTATTGTAAATTAATTTTCATACACATTTTAGCAGCTGGAAAAAAAAAGACATCACTGAAGAAGAGGTTGAGGAAAGCATGAGGGCCGGTCTGGATAAAACATGCAACAGACAGGGATGGGGAAAACCATGAGGATGGAAACAATCTGAAAGGTACATACAGGGGTAAGTAATCTGTGCATCTTATTTTCACCATTCATGATTGTATATTATGAAGTTGTACTTATTGAAATAGTGCAATTTCTAGACCGTATGGAAAACAGAATAAAACAACCCAATAACTGTTGCAATTGACTAACTCTACAACAAACTACTCTACAACAAATAAAACAAATGTGATGTCTCTAGCATTTACGGTTCCAGAATAAGAGTGCTTTTCCAGTTTCAATCTCTAATGGCTGCTTCTCCTGTGAAAATGCACCTGAGTAAATGCAGAAATAGAGACCAACATCCAGGGGGATCAAGTTTAGATTATGTGTGACCTAATTCCAAGAGATGGGGACAAATGCCTTTGTAGTATAGGAGGATAAGCAGTTACTGCGACTTGTATCCAAAGACAGTATGTGGGAGTGTTACGAGACGGGTCGGGACTAAAACCATGAGTACCGCCAGCATGAGTGCTGGCGGTACTAATAATAGTGTTAGCAGTTTTCAATGACGAGTATGACGAGAAAAAAGTTTTGGGTAAACTTACTCAACAGACGTAGTTCACATATAGCCCTTTTATAATGACAACTCTGTCAATATGATATGATTGAATCAGTAAAGATAGTGGTAATGAAAGTCATACTCAGACTAAAGTGGAAAAGATTGCTGAATACACTGAGTAATTCTGTTTAAAATATCAAAAGTCACAGTGACTGGAAAGAGTCATGTTTTCCATGCACCCAAAGACAAAACAATTTTTAGAAAGACTTATTTAAAGTACCTCAAAAGGGAATCTGAACAACTAAGTTTCTATTTCATAAGAATGTAATGTCAGTGGTCGAAATATTCTTGGAAGTCCATGTTATTGCAGGAGTGGCTTTGAATTTAAAGTGGCTGGTAGGATAAATTCAGATATGCAACATAAATATCTAACGCCAAAAGAAAAATTATGACATGCAGCAAAACCATTTATACTTAATCCCTGATGTGGTTAGGAATAGAAAAAGTGACAAGTGTAATAAAATAAGAACACATTTTTGTATATATCTTAGTGCTGTAGAAATTATGCAAAGAGTTAATCCATTAGGCCAAAATATACCTAGAGTAATTCTGAATGAAAGGTATAATAAATTTGGAGAAAATAAAACATTTCTTGTATACCCCAAACAAATTTGGATCCCACCATGCCCATTGCTGTGTTACCTGTTCATGTTGACTAATATGTAATGCAAAACTATATACCTAATTTTGTAATAAATATCCTAACCTAATTTATGTCACTTAATTATCCTAAAAGAGAAATGTCCAAATTTCCACAATAAAAACAAACAGAAAATTTGTTAAAAAGAATTTTAAATGGTTGTGTCTGTACATTACATATTTTGGTGTTATTTTCTTATCTATAGAAGTCGAAGACAGAGTGAGCCCTGGTTTCGGGACGGATGTTCTCTTGGGCGTTGGTATCTTCTCCCCAGATGGAGCTGCCTTCACTATCTGAGCTGGAGGCGTGGGAGAGAGATAGAGCGTCAAAGTCAAAGTCTTCCTCCTCATAGTTGTCTGGAAAAAATAAAACAAAACATTACAAAAAGTAAGAATTACAAAAGAATTATTTCATGGTATAACCTCTGCTTCAAGTATCATCAGCTGATGTACATTATATTGTTAGCATTTTAACAGGTCACAAAACTCATGTCACACTAACAATCATTTATGATCCTCAAAAACATATCTATGTTTGAAAAATGTCCTTAAAACTTGAAAGCATGTCAAAACTTATGAATTACAAATTTAATGTAAAAAGAGTTAATTGTCCCCCAACATATCAGTCTGCTAATAATTTATTTAAATGGAAATGGATTCAAGAAAACTTACATTTTGCTTTTGAAAAATCATAAGCATAGGATGTTGGAAAATGGAGAATTACAACCCCCCCCCCTCCTCACACACACACACACACACACACACACACACACACACATTTCAACCAAACCAGTTATAGGTGAGAGGAGTGGGGATCGAGGAGGAGAGAGGAGCTAAGGGGTCCTGTCATCTTCGTACACATAAACAGAAGATTATTGCTTCCTGTGTCTGATAAAGAAACAAGTAAAAAGCCATCTTAACAGCTAAGCCACCAATCAAGTCTCTTACCATAAGCTGTTGCTCCCTGTGAGTTGGTGGTATCCAGCTTCGCATTGCTCTCTTCCACCTGGATGACCCTGGGGCCCACATTATCCACACGCACCTCGCTCTCGCGCACTTTGATCAGGTAAGCCTTGACAGCTGGAGCGATTTCAGCCTCCAGTTGAGCAGCTGAGACAGAGGTGGTGTTTGCCTCCAGTGCAGCTGGTATTCTGCTGCTGCTGTCAATGGTCTCAACATCAGGCAGAGCATTCTGGGCAGGCTTAGACTTCTTGCCCTGGCCCTTGCCTTTCTTGCTCACTGTGGCTGTTCTACCAGTGGAAGTGCTGGGACGATCAATGAAGCTGGTATCCTCAGTGTCTGCCTTGAGCTCTCTGGTGACAGTGGTCAAGTAAGCAGGGTTCTCCAGCTCGCTGTCATCGCTGGAGCTGGTGTTCACAGCAGGCACTGTGGGGATGTACTGCATCTTGGGAAGCCTGGCAGGAAGCATCCTCCTCCGGGCTGGAGGGGGGCTTGGGGAACGGCCTCCCACGGCACCAACAAGCTCCTCTGAGGAGCTCTCAGAGACCTCAAGGTGTCGGGTCATCTTGGCCTTCCTCTCAATGACCTGTGAAGTGGGAAAGAATGAACCATCAGTGCAATACTAACAGTGTACATCAAGGAAAAAATGAGAAAACTGAAGTAAGGTATTAATACTCACACATCTACTCACACATTCACATGCGTGCACACACACAAACACACTTGCACGTGTGCACACATGCACACACACTAACAAGCATTGGAAACTGCCCAATGCTTGAACATCTATATGGTAACCATCCTTGAATATTCAACCTAGTTATAGCTGATATATCCTAACCATACAAAGCAACAATGGTCACATTTAACTCAGCCTAGAAAATTAAGCTGCATGCAAACAAGGGCTCCAAGATTTGGGATCCGCCAAATAACATCTGCCAGCCATATATATCCTATTAGTGACTAGAATTCAATTTTGTCAAATTTTCATATTTTTTTATATACATCTTAGAAAGCTTTTCACTGTAAAGTCATTATGCCTGAATGCTTATGTTAATGACAAGAGACACAGAAAACCCAAATTTACCTTATCGCGCTTGGCCTCCATCTCTTTGCGCTTACGGCGCTTCTCCTCAAGGAGCTGACGCTGGCGCTCTTCAAAGCGCACTTGCTTTTGCTGCACAGTGTTGCTGGCCTTCTTGATTTTCTCGGATTCTTGCAAAGCAGCACGGTCCTTGAATGCCTAAAAAGAAACAATTTTTTTATGCTTTTGATGATGAATTCTAATATAAAATTACTTTTTTTTAATATGTCAAATACTTGGCTGAAAAATCAAAATTATACTGTATTATATATTATACTGAATTATTTAAATTAACACAATGACTTATGGCACTACAAAAACTTGTGTTAAGTCTCATGAAAATTGCAAATATTATGTTGCAGATATTCAAGACAATACTCACAACAGAAGCCTTCTTGTTTTTGGCTCTGATGTCATCGGCCAGTTTACGCATGTTCTCCTGCTTTTTTTTCAGGCTTCTCTCCTTCTCTGCCTGCAGCTCTTCAGCAGTCCTCTGGCGAGATGCTGTCCCAGGACGCCTCAGTCTAGAATGTGAATGAATGCATTGGCTACTCTGACATGACCATGATTTTTTATTTCAATCAAACTAGAAGACCTAAAAATACTACTTTGAATCAGAATTTACAAGTTCAAAGATGCAATCTATAGATAATGAAAATTCAGTATCAAACTATTTATGTTAACTAAATTTCCTTTATTCCGACCTAACTAACAACTAGTAAGATTCTAAAATTTTCTCTATTAAAATTTAATTTCATTACTAGTATACTAGTTATAATCATTTTCACCAGCTCTCCCACGCACACACACACACATTACGCCTCAGAGAGAGAGAGAGAGAGAGAGAGAGAGAGAGAGAGAGAGAGAGATTCAGTCAAATAAAGGGGCAGGTTAACCACCTAACTTTCATAACACATAACAAAACCAACACATTTACTCAACACACCTGAAAAATTCAATACACAAATACAAGAGAGAGAGAGAGAGAGTGAGAGAGATTCAGTCAAATAGAGGGGCAGATTAACCACCTAACTTTCATAACACATAACAAAACCAACACATTTACTCAACACACCTGAAAAATCCAACACAAATTCGTGAGAGAGAGAGAGAGAGAGAGAGAGAGAGAGAAAGAGAGATACTCACCATGAGAAGTCACAGATGTTGTAAGAGGCAAGGAAGGATTATCAGACCAAGCAAATATCCTGGCAATATTGGTCANGGGGAAGTCACTATACCTCCTAGGACCTGGGGTGACAGGTCTGGCATCCTTGCTCTGAATAGTCCAAGCCTGACCAGCGAAGCGGACCCGCTTGTCAGTTGTTTCCAGCTGAGCTTTACTCAGTTTCCGATTGGCTTTCCATTCTCCTGGCTTCCAGCTCCAGTTAGAATGCTGAATTAAAAACTTGGGCATTTAAATTCAACCCATTCGTATATATTGTTTTTGTTCTTTCAATCACTGTTTCTAAATATTCTTAATAAATTGACTGCGACCCCGGCAAACTTTTCAGCGGGAGACGCCATCTTGCCCTAGCTTTGCATGACTCGAAACACTGCGGATAGTTTCGAAATATATGCATTGTGTTGGGATGTGCCTGTTACATATCCTTGTACCGGGCCTTCTTAGAGTAACCAGCATGACAAAACAAGAGAACATAGTCATATACGATTCAGGCAATGTACCCCATCTTATATCTGGTGTTTCTAACCAAAAATAATGAAAATATCACTCAGACTACGTTACCTTCCCGTTTGGAGCTGGGCTCGGAGGTGGCGCCGCGGGAACAGCTGATGGAGAGGGCGGAGCTGGGTTGACTCTTCTCCGTCTGAGGCGCTGCCTCACAAATTGCGCAGCATGGCTGAACCTTTCTCTGGTTCTCCGCCACGCTGTGCCAAAAGGCTCACACAATGGCATTTTGAACGCTAAATTCGTATTCTACCGATTTAGAAAAAGTTTGTCGAGAGATCAAAAAACACGTCTTGACGTCGTGGTTTTCAGTCTACAACTGAATGTTTACGTTTCTATTTGATACGTCACCACTTAGTTATACTGTGACGTCACAGTCTGTTTCCAGAATACCAGTTAGTAAAACTGAGAACCGTTGGTTAAAAACACGGATTCACTTGTAATAAACAAAAATATGTTCACATAAAATATGCACATTTTCTTAAAAGGAAATCATGAAAATAAGAATAGAAAACACAGAAAAAGGGGACACTCCGTATATTTCATGACTTTGCATTGGAGGTTTCCTCAGCAGCCAGTTTTCAAATTAACCGAAAGTAGGAAGGACAAAATGCTGACAAAGATGGGTGTATATTGGGAGAATATCAGTGATTTCTCTCGCACAAATAGCTTTCTGTTGTTGCAACTTAGAGCGCAACTTGTTTTATTAAAAGTGATCAGCTTTTTTTTTTTTTCCTAGATTGGGTGCATAGTGACAGTTCTGTATTAACAAATACGAAATACTCATAATCAAAAAGTTATGACCGATGAGAGCTTTTTATGATATTTTCTCCCAAACGACCATGAGTTGTGAGGTGACGTCATCTTCGAGAAAATAGAAAACCTAAACAATTATTTAGATAAAAATAAAAATTATAATATGGACTTAATGCATGGATGAGTTTTTTTCCTTTAAGAGAGAGGTTGTTTTTCAAATAAATGTGTAAAAGATACAGGTTATTTCAGCGGTTGGCACAGTTTTGAGGAGGTGCTTATTTCCTGTACCTGTTCTCGTCTTGTTCAATCTTTGACAACTCCTTCCTTGTGTGTTCTCATCGAAAGATTCTTTAAGTGAAGGTTATTTGAAAAAGGGTGGGTTTGAATAAAAAAATAACAAAGCGCTTAAAGATTACACAGTTTGCTTGCGAATTGCTCAAAATAAAACTGAGGTTCGCTGTTGTGGTTTTTTGCATGAACTTCCTCGCTCATCCCCCATCCCCTATTGAACTTTTTCAGAGCCATTCGGGTCACTGTCTGCCTTCATCTTTATTTCTGTGATATACATGTATAAATTTAATATTTTATTCTTAAATTTGAAATAAAAAAAGACGAGAAAAGCGTCGCGGTGAAATTTGTCTCTGATTAATTCAACCTCTGGATATTAGTTCCCGCAACCGCGTTTACGGGTAATCGTTGCAAAATTTAATGTAAATGTAAGGGTGGAGTGGGGGCGAGTAATGATCACTGAAGCAAGAAAAATGAAAATGCATGATGGAAGACGAATGGGCAGTATTTTGTGGAATAAATAAGTGTATTTTAACAACAAGAGGACTTCAGTCAAATCTTCATGTCCATGTATTTGACCTTAAACGTTTGTGAACATTGCCAGCCACAGTCCCTCGCCTAAAATGAGCCATACCTGTCGGTAACTAGCATAACAATAAGTTGCTTATCGTGGTGCGAGCTGTCCTCCCGAATGCTCAATAGGCAGTAGGACACAGTTGAGTGAAGACGCCACAGCATGTTTGGTGCAGTCGCAAGGTCGAGCTTTTATGAGGCGTAGAAGCAAACCCATGTTTTGTAAGTATCACCTTTTCTTCGGTAACCTCTGTCAGTAGACAGAAAAGCGTGGTAGAATGCAAGAAAATTTACGACAAGTATTTATGTTACTATTCTTTGTTATATTTTGCCTGTCTCTCTTTTATGTCACTCAGATTATTAGCCAGCATATTAGTAAACGGGAATATTGCCACAAAGATCACGGCTAATTTAGATGATAATACCGTACTTGTCACAGTTGTGAGGTTTTGATCCAAAGACAAGTGTGCCCCATCAACATGTACATCAGTTTTATGGTAAAAGTTTGATTTGAATAATCTAATGGTTACTTTTGTCTCTTTGAGGTTTCATTTCTTTTTATCAATTTTAAATTAGTTTTTTAGATTTGTTAATATTATTATGCATGTACCTGTAAAAATGTTTTCAAGTCAGTAAACACCCACATCATTTCAAGTGCCCTCTTCTCTTTGATGTAAAATGCATTACTAATTTAGCCGTATTTTCCAAACCTGCCTGTTTAGTCAGATATTGTTAACATTACTTTTTCATTTCAGAGGTCCACTGAGATACTGAGTACTGCACAACACCCGTCTGCTAGCAACCAAGACTTTCACGTTCTGGAACCCTACGCACATTCATGCATCTTTTACATTAAAACTGAATAAATACGTTTGTAATTCCGTATTTTTTTTTTTTCATTTTGATATGAAATAATGACCATAACGGTAGTAAAAATAATAAAGGAAAAGAGGTAAAATTATAAAGGCATGATTTCTGTCAGGTCACTTTCAAATTTAATCTGCTAAAACTGAACTGTAAGTATTGTGTTTGGGATTGATGATTTCTACAGTAACAGGTTTAAAAGTTTTTAATATGCCCAGTATTTTGTAAATAATTGAGTTTGCGCATTTTATAGAATACATTTTAGAGGTTTATTTCTACACAGTCACACCTCAAATGAAGTGAACTTGCCTCGCCGTTCGCCCCTCAGATGGAATGAACTCGTGCATTCCATCTCATTTCACTCAGAATGGGCCGCCTGTAGTCCGCTTCTTCTTCGTCCAGGTCTGAAACAATTAATCAGGGTAAAAAGCCATAATTTACTATTTAATTCATTTTGAGTCCAGATAATTATGCAAAATAATTTTTTTCTTCCTTTGCAAATAGATATGCTGTAATTTTCCTGTAACCTGTTGTTGGTACCGTATTGAATAAAGATGCGCGCTCTTTAGAGACGGAGACCCATATTGATATTGCAGGGCTAACGCAGGTTCGGCATAATTTGTCCCCATTAAAAAGGTTTGTTTTGGAGTGATAAGTGACAGGTTATCAGCGTATTTTCATCAAGACAATAAGGTCATTTTCACGTATGCCCAACCTGAAGTTTTACTTGGTAGTCTGAACTAATGAATGACTCGATAACGCGATGTTATAATTTACCCGGTCAGTGATCTCCACTTGTCTGCAACTTGTGCACAAGATTTATGTGCAATAAACTGAGACCCCATTTCCATAGATTTTTAGATCGATCTATCCCTGTGGGGAGTCTCACTAGATTACTGTCAGCTTGGCCGGCTTAAGCGTCTGTCCCGCCTACTAAAAGCTGTAAGGGAGTAATTAACTATGGTGCCCGCTCGGCTGACTGCAATTTAGCGTGAACCCCCAGGGAGTTAGGTCGATCTAAATCTTAATCTCTAGATCGATCTAAATCTCTGGGAAAGCACCCTGAGAGTATCATGGAATATGCGGCTTTTTTTTCTGCTTTTCTGTCAGAGGCACCCGTGACAGAATTTGCAGTATTGTCTTGCTGTGACTACAAATTTTTAAGCTTGGTTTTAAGAATGCATTACTGTGTTAAATAAACTAGTTGTTACTGCATAGTTATGCAAGAAAGAATTAAAATATCTGGGTACTTCAATCAACCCAAGGCCTTTTCATACATCCATAACAATTATGTACATCAGTTGCTTTATATTGATTGAAAGTAGCTTTCTGGCTGTGAAGAAATGCATTTTTCATGTGTTTTAGGATATATTTTAGAAATAGCACAGTGATGGGAAGACATTCAGACACTGATAGTGAAGACGACCGTCGTTCAAAGCAGAAAAAGAAACGCAGATCTAGGTATGGTTCAGCTGTGTACATGTAGATCTCAGGTCCTAAATTTGCTTAGGAAGTCACACTTGGCTGGTTTTAGCACTTAAGTTGCTATGAATGAGGTTTTGCATAGTTGCAAATAATTATATTATGTATTCCACAAAATCTAGAGCCATGTAACTATAGAGCTATAGCTGTATGTACACATCAGACAGAAGCTATGATACACATGTAGTTTTTTTATTTCACTTCAGTTGCGTTGTGTAAATTGGATATTGCAGGTGTTAAGCTGTTTTTAGATTTAAATTGTTTTATGTATTGTTTTTGTATATATTTGCATAAAAAGGTGAGGCTCCATTAGTATAAACATACTGCCTTTGGTTTTAAAGTAAAATGAATATTACAAGTCTAGCCACAGTGCAGGGTCAGTTACTTTGAAAACTTAAACTCAACTTTATCCTTTTAGATCTTATTCTCCTGACAGTCAGAGTTCATATTCCAAGAAGTCAAAACACAAGAAATCCAAAAAGTCCAAGAGTAAGAAGCGATCTCGTTCAAGGAGTAGGTCAACAGAAAGGTAGTTCCCTAGAAATTAAGATATGAGCATAATTAAATAGTTGGTTATATTTGCTTTTTTATGTTACAGCTAAAAGGTTATACTTCTTTTATTTTGTTAACTTATTTTATCATCCTACAATATCAAAAGAAAAGTTTTTGATAAGAAGCTGTTTGACAATTTAGATTTAAGACTGATCTAAGACTGTGAATTGACTGAATGTCCAGTATCCATCTTTAATTATTTACAGTCTGTAGCACATTGTGTTATGGTTAGTTCCCTAACCTAAATTATGATATGCATCAGTTTTAAGATTTCCAAAAAAGGGTACGACAAAGACAAATTGTTTAATTTGTTTAAATTGTTTAATTGTTTTAATTTGTTTAATTTGGTAACAAATTAAACAACCACTGAAGTATCATGAAGTTATTTATAATGTTACTTATGTGTAAGAGCCACTGGTGAATTTAATTTGAAGAAGTGAATTTGATTTTATTTTCTATTTCTCCAGAAGTAAAGACTCAAGAAGGAGGTCAAGGTCAAGAAGCACAGAACGGAGAAGAAGATCTAGGTCAAGGAGTCCAGACTATAGGAAAAGATCCAGGTCAAGTAGTTTGGATCGCAGGAGAAGGTCAAGGTCAAGAAGTAGAGAAAGGAGGTCAAGGTCAAGAAGTAGAGATAGGAGGTCAAGGTCAAGAAGCAGAGAAAGAAGATCAAGAAGGTACGATATTTTCTTATATATATATATATATATATTTTTTTTTTTTTTCAAAAGCACAAAACTAGGACAAATAGTGTTTTTGTGTTCTTGATTGTGTCATGAATTGAAAGTCAAGGCAAATGCATATTTGATCCACAATATCTCTCTGTAAGAGTATTGCAGAAAGCATGTAATTAATGTGAATGACATCATATATAGTGTCATTATATTTTCAAAGAAACAGAGAAAAAATTAATATCAGAAAATGTAGATAAAATAATTCTAAACTTAAAGCATACTCCAATGCTGTCTTTGTAGGTCAAGTAGATCCAGAGAAAGATCAAGAAGATCAAGATCTAGGTCACGAGACAGATATCAAAGGTCAAGAAGCAGGGAATCTACGAAAGAAATTAAAGTGCCAACGAGGTACAGTGAGTTTGCAAGCATATCACTAAAATTGATTTGACTTAGTAGATTTTTGACTACTTGTCCTTTTATATCTTTTATGTCTTCAAAAAATTATATCCTTAGACAAATTATTCCATTGCATACCCTTTCAGAATATAACAATTTTTTCTGTGCATATCAGTGAGTATTTATTCTTATTGTTTCAGTGATCCTTGTAGTGATATCCCAGGATTCCAGGACCTGGTATGTAGACTATGCAGATCACTCTGGGTACATGGTGGGGAGGTCTGGATGGGGTGGATCCGGGGTGTGGTTTGGGCTGGGGTTTGGGTGGGGAGAGGTCAGCTTCTGAATCAGCTTCTAGATTGAACAAGCCCAAGGAAGCAAAATTTATTTTCTCTTCACACTTCAGTTACCCCCATATTCTACCCTTATTTCATATGCAGATGTATATTGACACAGCTTCTAATTTTTTAGAATTTATAACATTTATTAAAATGTGTTAACATTGTGTGTGGTGGTTGTGGGTTATTGCTAATGCTTAGTAAGCAGGGCTTTGTCACTGTTTCGCTAATAGCTTGAAGGCACAAAAGTAAGCTAAAATATTTATTGTATAATATTGGTTACAGGACCCTGCAGAACAAAACAAGATTCGCCTACAGATGGCACTGAAGGCAGCAGGCAAGTTTTTTTAAATCTTAACAGACAGCTGTATTAAAGGCTGTATTCTCAGAGCTTTTAGATCGATCTATCCCTGCGGGTAGTCTCACTAGATTACTGTCAGATAATCCGGCTTAAATGTCCGTCACGCCTACTACAAGCTGTAAGGGGGTAATTAACTTTCGTGTCCGCCCGACTGACAGCTATTTAGCGTGAACCCCCAAGGAGTTAGGTCAATCTAAAGTAGATCGATCTAATCTCTGGAAATGGGGTCTAAGATATTAGCAAAATGTGCTTATATTATAATTATAATTAAATAAAATTTTCTTGTGAAACTTCTGGCTGATTAACAATTATGTTTTGGTTATTTAATTATTTAGTTGTGAACAATGCTGAGATGTTTTGTAGCTAACTAGGGTGTGGATGGATAGCTATGAAGGTGCCATGATTGGAATGTTAAATGTAAAAATTTTATTCAAGTTTAACTGTGACCATTTCAGCTGATGCAGACAACAAGCTAAAGGCCCAGGGTTTGATAGAAGGCAGGACTCGTGCCATGGAGCTTACAGACCAGCTGGAGCGCCAGAAAGCCATAGAAGAGATTGAGGAGCAAGGTTTTGTTCCACAGTCTTTCACATCAGGGTCATCAAAAGATGTAAGTGTTTATTCTGCTTCAGAACTTTGTTGGATACAAAAATTGTAACATTAATGTCAAATGATTTAAATCATATAATAAGAATTTATATATTGTATTTAAATATGATAGGATCTCTGAACTGGAGGTTGACAGGTGAAACCCTTGATGTATAGAATTACTGAGCGCATTTAATTCATTCTTTTAAAATTGCTTTGAAGATGGATGGTTGTTTTCATTTTACTCTGACCAATAATCAATTTTACTGTAACAAGTAAACATTTGTGTATTTCTAGACCACAGTGCAGCAGAAACAAGGAGCCCATGAGAGTGCGATATTTGGGCGCAGTTACTCCAGCTTTACCAGTGTAAAGAAAGAGCCTAACACAGAGACTACTGGCAAGATAGTGTACAGGGACACTGGCTCTCTGTTACATCCTAGTGTAAGTTGCTCTCATTTGAGAAAAGGCACTTTGTGATTTTCTGCAACAATTAATTTGAGTTGCCTTGCAATTATTTCTAAACAACTGTTATGCTGTATAACGTCTGTATTCAGCAATTCATCAGTAACTGCAAGTATAATATTAGAAATTTGTCAGTTACTTCAGGCAACATTATGTTTTTAACCGAATAATGTTAGACATTTTTTACTATTTTTGGCTTTTGAAAATGACGGCTGAATGTTGATTTTGAGATATTTGTAGTTATTATTTGCAATTGCTCAGTCTCAGATTGATACAATGTAGGTATGAGAAATTCATCTTCAGCTTGTGAAATTTTTTGTATGAACGTTTTTCAGCTTTGTGTAAGTGCTGAAGAGAAGATGGAGAGATGGAAGAAGAAAGTTGCAGAATACAGGAGGAAGAAACTAGAAGGAGAGGCTATGGTGTGAGCACAGTGAGACCCAGGGTAATGTCTCATGTTCAGGAAAATAGATGGCGATGGTGGTGAACATGCCCCAAGATGAGACTTGACAGGGGAGGTCATCAGCACTTCACTGGAGATTCCTCTCCGTTTCATTTTCAATGTGCTCAGCATCAGATATTGAAATACTGGTTTAATGTGAAGGCTTGATACGTCATTCTTCAACAAAAGCTATTGAAACAGAAAGAGATTGCGTGTGCCTTGCAAAGGAGCTTTTGGATTGCATGCACTTAGGCAGCATTATATGTATGAAAATTATAAAGATGAAACAGGTGATGAAAGAAGTCAGACACGTGCATTGTTTAAGTTTTAGAGAATGTAACAGACTTTTAAGCAAAAACATCTAATTTACAAGAAACGGATTATAAAATGAATGTCATGAATGTGTAGTAATTTTTCAGCAATTTAAACTCAGTAGTTGAAGCTATGTGTAATATTTAGTGTATAGAAATGAACAGAAAAGACAAAGGAACATAGCAGACAAAATGTAAATGCATTTTATTTACACCTGTACATCGTATCTACCACATAATATATGTACAAACATATTAAATCCAGTTACAAAATGAATTAATAAATTATCGTTAACATGCACTTGTTCAACCATGATTTTATGTGCTAAATCAAGCCAACAAAAACTGCTGCATTTGGAAAGGGTTAACAAGAACACAACTCTAAACAGAGGTGTAACCTCCACAAATATTTTAGCATAATTTTAACATTTATTGCACAGTTCCAAAGAAGGTAAAGCATTGATGATTGTGCAAGAAACATTTCACTTAAAAGGTCTTTGATATGTCACCACAACTATAACACACCTGCAAAACTCAATTTTGAACACGTTTTCCAGTTACATGTTAACTATGAGAAAGAGATATGGAGCATGTCTATAATTGTAACTATTATATCAAAGATAACCCTGCACATCACATGAACCAAAAAAAGTACCATGACTGTTAGTTAAGAATTAAGCAGTGCTGTTTTGAACTAAAATGTGCTCAAATATAGTGTTAAATTGATGTTAACTTGAGTATAATAGATTGTAATAATCACGATGTTCTACTTCCTTCATCAGTCAGGTGGAAATATTCCAAGTCTAACGTCATTTTTTCATATATTATTTTTTGTATTTAGCAGAAGCACTCAGCCTGGTATTTCAACATCACCATTACATGAAGAAATATATCATGCCAAAATGAATGTGCTCCATCTTTTGTAGAGAGTAAAATGTGAAGTTGATGAAATACCATAGATGATCTGTGGAAGTCTGTTATATGGTAAGGCAAGCTTAAACCTGGTCTGGCAACATTACCGTAGGTTTAAGTCTTCTTTTTGATATATTTTTCACTGACCAATGGAGATGAATGAAAATTTTTTTTCAGGCGCAGACAGAGGCGCAACACTACATGAACTGTCCAGTAACGATAAATAAAAGATCATAATATAGATAAGCCTGTGTCAGTTGAAATATGTCTCAAAATCCATACAGGACATCATCTTGGATCCACAAATTTGGATAACACCCCTTGCTTTTTTCTCACAGGATGATACAGCTGAAACCTTGGCAAAGAAGCTACCATTTAGCCTCGATGGTACACAATTTCCATCTACACCTTTTCTACCCATATCTGACTACAAAAGTTTTAACTCATTTGTATTTCCTTTTCATAAATTGCAACACATTTATGGATACAAGCATTTTAGGACAATAACAAAGCAACTCCTCCTAAGTGGACAGCGACCTTAAATTATGTATCTCCCAAAAGTGGTTAACATAACCATTCTTTAAGCAGTCATGAATTTTAATCCGCCCCATGTTAAGATAATGTGTGCTGACATGTGACAAGATAAGCTACATCCCTATCGATACGCTCCAAGACACATAGATTTATTAAGCCACCCCCCTTTTACGTGTCCAACATATCCAGGACTTTCATAATCTGTCTTTTAATAACTTTTGTAGCTTCTCCGGCCTCCTGTATCAGAAACCTGTCAACGTCTGTAATTTTCATTTCCTCTCCATTTGTCCCATACTTGAATGAGATTAACTCGGGGAGCTTCTTCTTTGAGGTTATTTTTAATATGGTTGCCAGAGGGCGCCTGTGCATGATGAGTGCCATTCCTTTTTTGTTTGGGATGTCCCTTAAAACGTACATGTGACTCTCCGTGATGAGCAAATGACTGGAAAAATAAAATATATACTTATTCTAACAAATGTTCTTAATCAGTTCATGACACCATGGTTTGCCTGATCAGAAAATTGAACACTTTTCTGTGAAGAATAATCACACACACATGCATGCACGCACACACACAAACACACAATGGTACTGTACACATATGAGAATGTCATAATATGCAGAAGTACATGCAACTGTATAAAATAACAGCACTATAAAGATGATCATTACCAGTGACATAATAAGAAGGTAACTGTAATTCCTTTTCTTACAATTAATTTCAGCACTACTACCAGCCCCTATGGTCAGAATGTACAGTATCTGTATGATCAAATGTGCAGTGCTATATACATGGATATCACAAATAGAAGGATACTAGAATATTATAAATATAAGACTATATACAACTGACATAAACTTTACTAACACATTGTAATTTTCAAACTTGATTATATTTTATCACCACACACCATTTAAACATATAGCCACTATCTTTGACTTGGTTACATAGTATTTTATCACCACCTACCTTTCAAACATATGGCCACTGTCTATGACTTGATTACATTTAAAAGCATGGAGTACATCAGACCTGCCCCGCCATGTGTCTATGTGCACTGTCTCCTTTCTGTCATCATCAGAGTCAGCAGTATTAGGAAGTTCATCTGAAAGAAAGAGATAAATAGTATCCTGTTCACAGCACGGCAAAAAAAGTACCAGTAATTTGTATCTAAAGAAACTTGATGAGTTTTTCACCTTATACAAGTAGGCATGAGGTTTCAGCCCTTCATCACAATGCAGTGATCAGATGACTGTCTTGTTAACATTTATACAGAAACAATTTAGTTTTTTACCATCAATACACAAGAGACAATTTAAAACTCATTTCACAGCTAAATTTATATCATCTTGATGTGATATACAGACAATACATCAACTTTAATTGATAAATATGATGTTAAGGGCGTATTCCCAGACATTTAGATCTATCCCCATGGGGAGTCTCACTAGATTACTGTCAGATAATCCAGCTTAAATGTCCGTCCCGCCTACTACAAGCTGTAAGGGGGTAATTAACTTTCGTGCCCGCTCGGCTGACAGCTATTTAGCGTGAACCCCGAGGGAGTTAGGTCGATCTAGTTTGGATCGATCTAATCTCTGGGAATGGGGTCTAAGACATGTTGTGGGTGGAAACAACTGTCAAGTGGCAAGTTTTTCTGAACAAATATCTTGCCAAGGTCAAAACTTACCATCATCATCGTCATCTATTGTAAATACATTGGCCATGTTTCTGTAGCGTTTGCCTACTTTGTCTGCACTGCTAACATGTCTGAAATCAATCAGCATATTAATCATCACGACTGTAGATCATTGGTTGTAACAGCACCACATGGTTTTATAAGCAAATATAATGCTGTGTAATTCAGAAAGGCTCGATCTGTAGTATTGTATTATTTCATGTGACTAAAAACAGTTGGAATGTACAATAAACAAAAGGCTATGAAAAATGTTCAATAACAAGAAAGTTTTCTACCAAGCTTAGCACTTGTTACCAGTATCAGTCTAACGATTCTCAAACCAAAAAGGATATAATAAAAGTTTAAATGAATGTTAAAAAACTTAATTAACCAGGCACTCTTAACTGCATTTATTATCACCTTTATAAGACTTATTAAAAGAATTATCTTTTAATTGCTAGGTAGATAAGGTTTGTGTTCATAAGTTTTAAAATGGGTGGTTGTGTCAGGTGATCCAGTGTGTTGAATCAAGGAGTTATAACAGAAGGAGATTACANGTATGTTTATGGGACCCAAGGGCAGGAGGGTCCAAACGTTTATGTATTAATATTATGTTCTTTGGCAGTGAGGACAGACGTTCACTTGAATGTCATTTTCACAAACCACAGTTGGGACGTTTTCTTTTGACTTATCCTTGGTGATTTTTCACTGTGTTGTGCAAAAGAAAAGCCATCTATCACCGACTCAAAAAAACCCATGGCGACCATCCTCAGTCACCACCTTAAAATCGCTTTCTATGATATCGTTCCCTCCCAGCACATCGTCCAAATAACTACCTGTGAAAAAAATCGTCAGCATACAGCGCCGCTTTGACACTACTGATTTCGAATTCTAACGCGAAATAACGCATATAAAATCAATCTCCGAGCGGAGGAGAGCGACCCAGACGAAACCTTGAGACAGGAGGCCCCCCGTAGCTAGCTCCGCCCACCGTAACAGACATCGGACAATAGAGAGGCTTGCGTGTAATCTCCTTCTGTTATAACTCCTTGGTTGAATCAACATTGAAAGACCTAAATGTACAGGTATTATAGTGTCATGCATAGCCAAAAGATGGCAGCACATTATGATCACATCTGCTCACCTCTCTTCTGCACCTTGGTGTTCATTTTTAATATAACTAACTAGCTTTTCCCTCATTTCTGCTGATTTTGATTTCAAGGCAGAAAATTTCTCTCTGAAGGATATTTTCTGCAAATAAATATGTTAACTAAATTATAATTAACATCACATGAAAGAAAACATACATATGAAAATAATAGTCTGAAGGTGTAGTTTCTTTTCTAGCTTCTGAGTTCTTTGCAAGCAATAGCACAAATAAGAATAAGAATCTTTAAATTAAAAAGTTCTATAAAACTGTGGCAGCAAAAAAAACTGATTTCTATTTTATCCAGAATTTATTTCTTTAAAAAAAGACAAAATAAAAAATAAAACTTGTACAAAAATACTTGAAAATGGTTAAAATTAAAGTTTTGGCTGTCAAAAATGAAATATTCAATAAATTTTCACTAATAGGCCATTAAACAAGGAATTTGCCGGCTCGTCCCTTCATTATAACTACTCCCCACACACCTTTTCCCCAAACTCCTCAGTGGAGTCTATATCTGCAGCAGCCTCAGGGGCATCTGGATTGCACACTATACAAGACTTGGGGTTGTGGTCCTTGATTCCCTCTGCCAGGTTCCCCTTCAGTGACTCATGGATAGCTGAAAATCACAGAATAATGGGTGTAAAGAGTAATAGTCAGGAGGATGTGTCATTTAATACGGACATTCTCCCTTTTAGATCACAAGGACACCAAACACTACATAAATTAATGTTATCATTTGAAATAAAATCTATGATATTTGTATGACGCCTCTTGCCTGCTTCCTCCATGGATGAAACCAATACAGGATGTTATTAATTTTAGACCAAGGCAGTTCCTGTGTCTAATGTAACATTTCAAAGTGAAAGTGAAAGTGAAATTTTTCTGTTGGCAAAAGCCATATTCAAAATGTCACATGTATGACAATACACATGTATACCAAGTATGGCAGATAGAATGGTGGGTGCGAAATCAACATTATAATATCTTATTCCGATGGACAGATACTAAAAATTTTCATCAGCATGAAGTATTTGTCACATATTAAGATGCCCTCTGAACCCACTTTCATTTTTCTCCCAAAGCTTAAGATTTTCCTTGCTTCTGTACTGAAATTAAAGAAAACCTCTCCATTTATAGTAGTATAAATCATTATATACCTGTATAACCTCCTCTGGCTACACTCACATATGCTGTGTGTTTCTGCAGGAAGTTAGCCACCACCATGTGAACATACTGGTCTTCTTCCTCCCTGCCACTGCCCACAAAACACAGGTGCTCCCCTCCTGCTACTGAACCTGTAATAAGGAATCAATGAGTGATCAATATATCAATATATAATGGTCTTCCTCCTCCCTGCCACTGCCCACAAAACACAGGTGCTCCCCTCCTGCTATTGAACCTGTAATTAGGAATAAATCAGTAATCAGTATTGCAATTTTTATTGCTTCATATCAGCGGATACACATGGACTCACCTTATAATATTGCTTGTCTAGGCAAAAGTTTTTAAAAATAAACTGAAAATTAAAAAACCTGACAAATTTACACAATTATAAATAAGCAAAATGTCAAAAACCTTGTTTTCTTCATTTTTTCAGTCACATTTACAGACCTTTCCAAGCATTCAAACCAACATTTTCATTTATGTGGTAAGTTACCTGCTGAAATGGCTTGTTTCTGTGTGGCAAACAATGCCTGGACTGCTGTGTTGAACTCAAATGGGTTTTGGAGCATCTAGAACATACATATAAATAAATGTAACACTTAACTACGTACTGTAGAAAAATGTTTTCTACTTATTATAATAAAACCAAATTCATAAGTCTTCAAATACAGATTTTATCAACGTTCACTTTAGACTTAAACAGTGCAAAGCGAAGTTAAGTTTAACCCTAAAAGAGAATGGTACCAAGTGGCATAACCATATAGGCAAATTTTATTCCAAACACTTGTAAACTTACACGAAACAAACACCCTTTCCATATGACCACCTTAACAGAATACTGCGCACTTACCAAGTTAGCATCCAGATGGAAAGCTGTTGGTAGATGACCACTATTATACTGTACACTTACCAAGTTAGCATCCAGATGGAAAGCTGTTGGTAGATGACCACTATTATACTGCTCAGCAGGACGACAGTCCACTACAAAATATCTAACACCATCTCCCTGAAATAACATTCAAAACCCACTTAGTAAATGTGGGTGACATTCAGGCATCATATGATATTTTGAAATTGTATGAATAAAGTCACCAAAAATCATATAATTTCTAAAAAGAAATTAACATTTTTCATATTATCATTACAATCTGTTGTATCTAAGATCTATATAAGATGCAAAAAGTAGCTTCCCAAGTTGGGCAATTTTCAAAAATTATGTATTGTCAGAAGCAGTTAAGAGCCAGCCCCTTCCCTCCTCTTACCCCTCCCAGCTGATTGGCCTGTAGGAGCTCCCCCACAGAGACAGGTAGACAGAGGGCCTGGGACACCTGGATATCAGTCTGGTCATCTCTGTGACTTGACATACCACTACTGCCATACAGAGGGACCTGGTAGTCCTGGAATATAGAATAATAATAATAATAATAATAATAATAATAATAATAATCTTTACTGGTTCGATCACATTTTTTAACCAAAAGGATAAATAAAACAGGCCAAATCAAAACCAGAAGGAACTGGACAAATTACAAGTTTTGAGTGCACACTTCTAGGTAATGACACGTCAACTCATATATGTACTTACTCTTCTAAATGATTGGGGTGTTTTTGATGCATAATACTGGGCCAAGGAACAGAAGTCTTCAATGTCTTCAGCTTCCAGGGCACTGGGAAATCCTACTATTTTTTCTAAAAATAAAGCAATATATTTATGGTTATAATCTTTGTAATTCATGACTAAATAATTTAATATAAAATGAATTATTATATTACCCTCGCTGTTAATGCCCAATTCAATGCACTAGACAGTTGGATAATATGTAGTCTACATGATAATTCAGCATGTACAGTGAATTTATATTTATTATTTACAAGTTATCACTGTACTTTTTCACCAGCTGAGTCCCATGTAATAAGTTTGATAGGTTAATGAGAAACAAGATATATTTTCATTTTCTTAAGACAACAAAGACATTTTGATATTTAAGAAAGACATTTTATAAATCATTTAAAAACTTTTCAGTGGGCAATTTGGATAATTAACAAAAAAGCATTTACTGAAGTTTAACAAGGACACCCAGCTCTGCTATCTTTATCATATATTATTGTGAGTATGTTAACTTTTCTTCATACATATTTAATACAATATTCAACAAGCAACATGAAGTGTGGCTGACATACCAATTATAGAGTGTTTGGATTCCTGCTCCATCTCTACCAACTGTTCTCTGGAAAATATGGCGGCGTGTAAATTATTTTCCATGTTTCAAATCAACTTACCCCTATGTCTTTGATTTAGTTACATTTTAAAGTTAAAACTTTGCAACTGACTTCTTAATAATGGCATATCAATGTACATCTTAAAGAAGTCTACACCTACATATGACTACATTTCAAACGAATACATGTACATAAATTTTAATACAATTCCAAGTAACATCTTTCATACATATTCCTGGTTGCTTTGATATACTCAAGTGGGGCACATGGAAATAAACATAAAAAAATTCCACTATTTTCCATAACAGCCAATATGTCACGGTACATCACAGTGTCAAAATGCGACTTATTTTAATCTGACAAAGTGTGTGTGTGTGTGTGTGTGTGTGTGCGTGTGCGTGCGTGCGCGCACATGCAATCACGCATGTGTGCCTGTTTTTTTTACACAGCTGAGACCAAACTTACTTAGCATTAACAAGAATCACCAGAGATAAGAAGAACATAAGGAAGGGATCAGCTTGCTGGAGATACACGTCCCACATGTTCAGTATCACGTCTAAGTCTGACGGACCAGCCAAGACACTGCGAAACTGAAAAAAAAAACAGATCTTACAGGCATAACAACTCTTTGTATGAGATTCATATTTCACAATAAATACAAGTAAACAACTTACAGAAACAAAATAAATTCTCTTTTACCAGGAAGTTGGAACTTTTACCACGAACTGAAAACAGAGATCATAATTTAACTGATTCTTCAACAATCATGTACAGTTAATTACCACATGCACCAGAAACAGGATGGAAGTGAAAAGATATGTTCAAGTTGCCAAGGTACAATAGAAACTGAATGAAATCTTGATAATTCTCATGCTTCAAAACTCACAGTAGGTCATTAATAGTGTGGACCGAAGGAAGTAGTTGAAATAGTTTTAACAATGATCTAATTGTTCACCAGGAACAGTGAATGATCACAGTTTGATATGTCATTACTGCATCCTGATGTGACAGTGTTAGAGAAAGCTACAATTTTACTCATTTATGAAATTTAATATGGTAATTATTCAAAAATTTCCAAGTGTATCACTTTTTCTAACTGAATGTTTTATTTATTCAAGTTATATGATTTTAGTTACTCCAAAAAATATCTTAACACAAAGCAAACCAACTTTTTCAAACTTTTGTAGCACATAATTTAAGTGTTACTTACAAGTTAAACTTTTGTGGAAATTTATTGATTTATGTTGTTCAAATTTATTGGGCAATTACCGTAGGATTACAAGGTGTTAACTATGATACTGTATAGTGTTAAGCAGAGTTTAACTGTGGATACAATATGTTCATTAAGGGTGAAAAGCTCTACTCCCACATTCCAGTGACAATTCCTGATTTTAATTTATTCAAAGTTCAAATAAAACCTACTATCGGTAACTTTCTGTCCCACACTAAAAAGAAGAAAATTCTCATCCCTGTGTTTTGTATGAAAAAAATGTAATATAATAGAACACAAGGAGTACCAGTGCAAGCACTAATAACAAAATAATATGTGAAAATGTTTAAGTTCATTTTGAATCTTATTTACTATTCATATATTATCTATATAATATTCAAATGCATAATTTGTGTCCTCACCCAGGAGTGTGCGTACAGGTCTGGGGTGACCCTCTTGGTGTCTAAGAAAGAACACAGCTCAGGCTCATGGTACTGCAGGAGAAGTCTGAACAGGTGGAATGGCTTGCCATTCTTCTTACACTCTCTGTGGGAGAAACAGGAAAGAAAATGTTTTTATCTGACTTTTTACACTAATACAGGAATAAGAATATGGAAAAACATTAAAATGCTTAATGTGATTAATTTTTTTTTGTTAAAAAAATGACAATTGCCTCAGAAGTGTCATCTAAAGGATGGAAAACACTATCCCCGGAGAATGTAGCACTCCCCAGACCAAATATAAATAAATAAATAAATAAATAAACAGAAAAAGGGAAAACGCCTGACACACCCACATAATCAAATAATGAGATCATGTTATCCTACCAACCTTGGTACATATCTGTTGAGGAATGCATAAAAGACATTATAAAGGTCTTCCTTGGGGAGTTTCAGAGACAACATGGGTTGTAGTATCTCCAGCCAGCCATTATCACTAGAGTACTTGATATTCTTGGACTTGCAGTAAAAAGTGATGATTTCCTCCAGGTCACTGACTATGGACACTTTATCTTCCTCCTCATTTCCTAGATTTTCTGAAGAGAAAAAGTGAGTTTTGTTATACTCTCAAGATTGTATTGTTTCATTATGTGTGTAAAAGTTTATGGTGGGTGAATATTACATGTCTACCAAAGGGTTAATAAACATAAATCACCATAAAGTTTATGCTAGCGCATTTTTCAAAAATTTCGAAAAAGCTATATTTTATATGAAAGATTAAAGTAAATAATAAAACTGATTACTTAATATGTCAATGTATCACTGATTTTGTACATAAAAGCCATTTGAATTCAAAAAAAGACTGCTGATATGATGAAATCAGAAGTTAACATTACTTAGAACTCAACACTCCATCTTCACACTCACTAGCAGCAGTGAATGTTCTCTACCTGTTTTAATAATAATAATAATAATAATAACAATAATAATAATAATAATAATAATAATATTAACAGGTGTTAAAAGAAAAGCATTGATTAATAACTAACACATACCTACTAACTTCTGACAATCTTCTCTGACTTGTTTCTGCTCATCCATGTCATACAACCCATCAAACCCTGACAACGTGTCATCTGTGTCTGTGATGTTCAGACAGATCTGGAAAAAAAATTGAAAAAAAAGAAAAAAAGAATCAATAGGTTTTTCATTCTTCATCAGATAGGTCATGGTAAAATAATTTTATGGTTTTCATTTTTTTTTTCTTGTGTAATGCAGTTGAAAAAGAATTTTTAAAAAAATCTGAAGCAGGAGCAAGGTCTGCACCCTCTCTTTCTCATACTGTACTGGAAATGGCAGAAGGTAATTTCAGCATACTAGTATTAGCTTTTGCAATGCTAAGTTCTGTATTTCAAATTGGGGGAAAAAAAGCAGCTGCCAAATTGTATTTATAGTATTGCATTTGGTGCGACAGTGGATGTGACTCTGATTGTGACACTGTGTTATATATGTGTTCTATGTGACAATGTGTTAGGTACAATAGTTGCAGTAGTAGTCTGTTAGGTGTGACAGTGATTGTATTATATTTATGACAATGTGTTCAATGTGACAGTGTGTTAGCCAATACAGCAGCAGTCTAGCACTGTTCCGTACCTTCCATACTTGTGGTCTAAGATGAGCAGGGACTGGCTTCCCCTGACAGATTGTCCTCAGGATACCAAAATCACAGCCCTCAAGGAGAGCTTTCTCAAGATCCTTGATCCTGGAGACAAAAATAAATTACGAA